AATGGAACGGTACCCCATTGTTAGAGATATTATCTTTATTATAATAAATACGGAATATCCGGAGACGTACACACAGGTCAGTTGTAGACGCTGTACTATTTCAGCTTTCCAATTTGTGATTTTAGCGCAAACGAGAGTTGATATTTAAAAATGATATAAGGCCCATTCGCTTGATAAGTTGCCATCGAGGGATGGCCCTTATTTCGTCTCTGTTTCTGGTTATATACTCGATGTACCAAGAGAACCATATGAAAAACTTAAGCAACTACCTACTTACGTTTTATAGATGATGATATATTTACCTATACGCGTTTTTGAAACTTTTAAAACCACTAGATTTATAGAAGTGGATTTTCTTTTTGTATAATAAATAACGAGACTTATGTGTTCTGTAAAATCAAGGAAAGAATGAAACCGTCAATTATGATAAGCAATTATCAATTTGATAGTGATGTTCGTTGTAATACTATGCGATATGGAAGATTAGCGATGACAGACCTTGAGAACTTAATTTTAGCGGCCCCATCTACCAACACCTGCCTTCGCTTATTGGAAGCTTATAAACAGTACTAGATAATACGCCATCCCGCCGCTAGGCTAGATGGAGTTGCTTTGTAATTAATTACTACTGATGACGAATACATACATACATATAGGTACTTCACGCCTTTTTCCCATCAGAGTAAGCAGAGACAACAGTCTTCCACTTGCTACGGTCCTGACACACATCTTTCGCCTCATCAACACGCATCAATGCTTTCATACACGCTCGTCCGTTAAGGGTACTCTTGACCTGGCCCTTCTTTAGGACGGCCTCAATTTGGTCATGATAAGTTCTCCTTGGTCGGCCCATACCAACTTGCCCGCTCACACTCGCCTTATAAATCTGTTTCGTCACTCTTCTTTCATTCATTCTCTCTACATGTCCGAACCATCTAAGCATCCCTTTCTCTATCTTTGTCACTATATCTTCTTCCACGCCGCAACGCTCTCTTATCACACTGTTCCGTAATTTATCCATCCGAGTCACTCCCGCCATACTCCTCAAAGCTCTCATTTCTACTGCATTAATTCTACTTTCATGCTTCTTCTGCCAAACCCAACATTGACTGCCATACATAAGTGTAGGAACCAGCACCCCCTCATGCACAGCCAATCGTGCCTTTTTAGACACTTTCTGGCTGTCCATGAAGGTATGCAAGGCACCATTCACCTGATTCCCTGCGTTCACTCTTCTTTCAATGTCTCTTTCACATTTTCAATCACACGTAAACGTAGAACCTAATACACAAACTCTTTCACTTGATCCACTTTCTTTCCTTCAATCAATATCAATTGATGATGAATAGGTAGCGCAGTTTATGATTGTCAAGGATTAATATCGATCGATGAATAGTAAACCATTATCGTTCAAATGGGAACACCATTTAGTTCAGACAAAGAGTTAATTCTTCTTTTTACGTATCGATGACATAGGTACACTATAATGCTTTTTTTATAATATCATAATAGAATAACGTCGGGGATATCGTAAGTACGCGTAAGTAGCATGGGTGCGGCTCGTAATATATAACAACAATTAATGACATATTTTTAGTCGATATAACGCTCAACGGATTAAATTAATTTGTGGTATAAAAGTCACTGGGTATAATTGACGATTGATATAAATAATATTCAATCTAATATACCGATAGCATAATGTTCTTTTTGTATAAACAAACACTCCAGATATAACATTCACTGAGTATAATGTTATTATTATTATATATATAAAGCTACAAGTTCTTACTCATTGATAGAAATAGAACGCATACTTCCCGATGTGGTGGAAAAAAAAAATGTAACAATATAACACCGTTGTACGTGGATAGGCTCCAAAGCAAAGAATCAAATATGAGAGGACCTGAATATGGAAAATATGGAAGATTGATCAACGGCCTGCAAAAACTATATTACACCCTGGTCAATTTCCGCGGGAAGTAAAAAAAGTTCGTAATACAAATAAATAAGACGGCCGCCATACAAATTTCAAAGCCCCCTATTACGGAAACTATTAGAGATAGGTAGGAGGTGCTTGAAGGAATATCATACAGGGTAAAAAATGCTTGGGTTAAAAAAAAATCAAGATGGCGATTTCAAAGAAAAACTTGCTTCGATCCGGCTGAAAATTGGCATGCAAGGGTCTTTAGGAGATCTTAATTACAATTTGGAGTCAAAAGTTTATTTTCGCAATTTTTTAAAATGGCTGCCATATAAGTGTTTTTTTCATTAAAAATCGCTGCCGAAAGAGATTTGCTCTGAATCGGCTGAAAATTGGCATGTGAAGGCCTCTAGGAATGCTTGATAATAATTTGTGATCAAAATTGGTTTTTCGCCATTTTTGAATATGGCCGCCAAACAAGCGTTTATAAAAATTTGCTCTAATTCAAATGAAAATCGGTATGTGGGGGTCTCTATAAGTTTTTGATTATAATCTGCGGTCAAAATTTATTTTTTGCCTTTTTTTCAATATGGCTGCCATACAAACTTTTTTAGCGTCAGATAAAAATTTGCTCTAATTCGATTGAAAATGGACAAGTCCAGGTCTCTAGGAGTGTTTAAAAAAAATTAGCGGTCAAAATTTATTTTTTGCCTTTTTTTCAATATGGCTGCCATACAAACTTTTTTGGTGGTAGATATTTTTTTTTTCTAATTCAAATGGCATGGCTTCAATCATAATTTCGGGTAAAAATTTAGTTTCCGCCGTTTTTCGATATAACCGTAATTTTTTATGTAAATGGCTGTTGAAAAAACTTGCTTTGCTTCGAATGAACATTGGCACGAAAAGATTTCTACTTTTGTTTGATAAAAATTAGTGATAAAAAACATATTTTTGCAATTTTTAAATATGGCCGTCATTAAAGAGTTATTTCAATTATTTAAAACAAAGTGATAAGTGCCGAGGTCGTAGGCCGAGGTCCGCGCAGGGCAAAGCCCGAAGGGTACGCACGCTATCGCGATGGAGATAATATACGGAGGCGTAATAGATTACGAGTATAAGATCTCACAATTGTAAAAATGTAAGGCATACTTCCCGATGTAGTGGTAATGAGGTATTTATTATAGCGTTGTTGTATCTCGATCGTCTCTCTGTTAGATTCCATTTTCTTGGAAGCTATGCCAAAGAAAAGTATATAGGGGGAAAAATGCCAAACTGCTGCCGAATGTAGTAGTACTAACTGCTGTGCCACCGAGGAGCTTGAGCACACCCCGTAAACTGAACCCGACCTCGCGTCGCAGGCAAAGCCCGACCCGGGTACGTTATTAATATAATTCCAATGGTGTTTACCTAAACACCATTGTTTATATATCGGTACCGATACCGATACAGACACCGATACCGATAACGGTAACGATACCGCTACCGATCCCGATAATAATAACGATAACGGTACCGCTACCGATACCAATAACGATAACGGTAACGATAACAATGATAATAATAATTACCACCACCGTCCACATAGACATCCTGCATTTGCTTGATTTCGGTCCGCAACTGTGGTTCAAACCAGCTACAAAAAAGGTGAGAAAAGTAAAGAAATAATACAATAGTACTTTTTGACTACGACGGATGACGTCATTCGCGGGGTGGTTGTCACGTGTGATAAAGGGCTAACTCCCTTATCGTTGGCCAAAGAGGAATGGCGAGACCCGGTGGTGCTTAGCACCTCTGACCACGAGTCCGTATGGAAAGAGAAGGAGCTCCTTGAGAGTTTCTTCAAGGTACTCCACGAGTCCTTTGTGGACCATAAAGCCTCCCTGCATTGGCTGCGTTTTGGAGATCTCTCTGGGGAAACCGAAGGTTTTGTCTGTGCAATACAGGAACAGGTTATCAAGACGCGGAACTATGGGAAATATATCCTAAAGGACGGTACAGGAGACATTTGTCGGGCATGTGGCCGTTCCGGAGAGTCACTTAGGCATATTGTTTCCAGTTGTTCCGTTCTTGCTAACACTAAGTACTTGCACAGACGCAACCAGACTGCCAAAATATTACACCAAGAGCTTACTCTGAAGTATGGACTCGTGCTACAGAGGTTGACATATTATAAGTATTCACCGGAGCGAATACTCGAAGATGCACCAAAATCTATTGGAATCGATCCATTATCACGGACAGGACTATTCTTGCGCATAAGCCTGATATTGTGATATTGGATCGATCGCAGTCGAGGGTATTTCTTGTGGAAGTTGCCATTCCGCATGACGAGGGTCTCGTGAACGCCGGAAGTATTTTTACCTGGCGCACGAGATCACCCACATGCGGGATGTGGCCTCCACTGAAATAATCCCAATTGTTTTGTCCGCAAATGGGTTAATTCCAGTCAGCCTCGCTAGTAGCTTGATGCGGTTGGATTTCTGTGGCGTTTCGCTTCCAGCACAAATACAGAAGGCGGTCCTACTCGATGCATATTGAACCTGAGTCGCTGACCCCGGTTGACTGTGCCATTGCCGGGAAATTATTTATAATCTAAATTAATATATAAATAATTTTATTTTAATCTGTTCTAAGTGAAATCTTTAGATAATACGGTTAAACGTGCAATAAACACGTATTGATGATTGTTAGTGTGGATTAAAAGTGGTATTTACTACAAATCGTTAAAAGTAATGTTATTAAAGGATAAATTAACTACCGTCCATTGACTCGGCAACACGTTAAGTAAGTACATGCCGCGTACGACTTTAACGCTTGTGCGCTAAGGATTACATTTGCTTGCGCACCTTCACTGCCCATCTGTGATTTCGTCATCGCTACGCTTGCAGTACGCTACGCTATTGCAGAAGCGCCATTGTGTTGTGTGCTACTCATTGCCTCTGAGAGACTTTTGTGGACATTTTACTGACAACTGAAAATGTCGAGGTCTATTTTGGGTTGCTGCGATGGGATGATGGATATTGAGGAGAATGCTATTAACTGTAAAAACTGTAAAAAAAAATTTCATTACGCTTGCATGTCGCTCGATGAAACTCAGCTCACAGCTAAAATGCGTGACGTATGGAACTGCCCCGAATGTGTGTCTAAAAAACCAGTCTCCAAGAAAAATGACAACACACCCATACGCAATGTGAATACTAGTAGAGGTAACAAAAGACCGGCCCTCAACTCTCCACCAACTGATAATTCACGGGCATCCATGTCACGCGACGATATTCGTGAAATTCTTGAAGTTATGACAAAGAACATGGACGATAATTTTGCCAAAATGCGCCAAAATATGACTAGTGCTTTGGATGAGCAATTGAAACCAATAAGAGCTGAACTATCGCAAATGAATGACTCAATGAACTTCATCAGTAACCAATACGAGGATCTGAAAAAGGTTCATGAAGCTTCTCAATTAAGAGTTACAGAACTAGAAAAACAGAGTGTGGAATTAAAAGCTACTGTGGAAGATCTAACGCTCCGTATCAACCAGGTTGAACAACAGTCCCGTCAGAATAATGTGGAGTTGCAATGCGTTCCGGAAGATAAGAACGAGAATATAATGCAAATTATTCATCAGCTTGGGAAGACGATTGGTTGCAGACTAAATGACAATGATGTTTTGAATTGTACACGCACGGCGAAAGTAAATCGCTCCAGTACCCGGCCTCGTTCCATTGTGGTGCAGCTGGCTTCTCCGAGGTTGCGCGATCAACTGCTTGCGTCAACGATCAGCTTCAATAAGGCAAATCCGCAAAACAAGCTGAACAGTTCACATCTTGGTCTGTCCGGCAACATCACTCCTATATTTGTAACCGAACATCTGTCACCGTCCAACAAAGTATTGCATGCAGCAGCCCGACGTGCAGCCAAGGACAAAGGCTACAAATACGTCTGGATTAGAAGCGGAAAGATTTTTCTGAGGAAAAGTGATGATACCGAATTCATACTAGTAAAGAACATGGACATGCTAAAAAACATCAAATGATTTGGATACTAAGTTCTTTATTGTTATTTCTGGTAATTGTATGGTTTTTTGATATTACATTCTAAAAGAGCTAAGCCAACTAAATATGTATTACCAAAACACACGTGGATTAAGGACGAAAACACACAACTTTTACTGTCAGGTCTTATGTAATACCTATGATGTTGTGGTTCTTACGGAGACTTGGTTGAATAGTTCTGTCAGCAGCAGTGAACTTTTTGATAGTAGGTATGTCGTATACAGAAATGATAGATCAACTGATCTTCATTCTAAGGGTGGTGGAGTTCTAATAGCAGTTTCGAAGAGATTTCAATCTAAAAGAATGATCGAATGGGAAAGTAGTCTTGAGGAACTCTGGCTAAAGATTGAATTTCCGTTCGCAAATACTATCAAACAAATATCAATATGTGCTATATATTTGCCGTCTCCTATAAAGAAAACCTCACTAGAGCTATTTTTTAAAAATTGTACCACAATCATTGAGCATTCCAATCACAATTGTATCATTGGAGACTTTAACTTGAGTAGTATCGACTGGTGTTCGTTGAAGGTTTTGATTGGCAAATACCCCGAGTTGTGCCAATCCCTTATAGACTTCACTCTACTAAATGGGTTGAAACAGTATAATACTACAGTTAATAACCTTAATAGAATACTTGATTTGGTGTTATCTGATCTTTCTACCTGCATGGTAAAATCCTCTCATAATTTACTTAGCAAATTAGATAATTTTCACCCTCCTTTGGATATTGTAATCCCTTTAACTGAAGCGCCTGTAGTAGTATGTGGAACTGACTCAGAAAAATAAAACTTTTGGAAGGCAGATTACGAAAGAATCTGTAAGGAGTTCATGGAGTACGACTGGAAATTTCTGTTCGGCGATATGAATGATGTGAATGTTATGTTGGATGTTTATTATGAAAAAGTTCGCAAAGTTATAAATATTTTTGTACCTAAAAAGAAAGTTAGGAACAATTCATATCCGCCGTGGTTTGATCGTGGTTTGATGAGATCTCTAAGGGAGAAGAATAATCTCAGACGTCGCGTTAAAATGTACGGAAATCCAATGGATGAACTGGAATTAAAACTACTGAGCTCCCGATGTTCGCGTTTAATCAGTAACTGTTACAATCGCTATATTTCTAACCTAGAGACACAGATAATGAAAAACCCCAAGCTATTTTGGTCATACGTAAAATCTAAACGTGGAGGAGCAAGTTCCTATCCCACTTCTATGACCGACGGCCATCAGACATCTTCGGATGGTCGGGAAATTTGTAGATATTTTGCGTCTCATTTTGGATCTGTGTACTCAAGTGGTAATGATGATGTGACCTGTAATTCCGCTCAGCTAGCTGATCCACTGGATACATCAAACTGTAGTGTGTTGTTAACATCGCCAACTCTGAATCGTGACATGGTTTTAAAGAAATTAAAGAGCATCAACGTAAATAAAGGTGCTGGCCCGGATGGAATCCCTCCAATATTTATCGTGAGATGCGCGGAATACTTGGTGGATCCGCTATTAATGATTTTCAATGCATCACTTGCTGTTGGAATATTCCCATCTGCGTGGAAGATAGCCAAAATTGTACCTGTATTTAAGTCCGGTGATGAGAACCTGGTTAGTAACTACAGGCCAATCTCAATTCTATCTTGTTTTGCCAAGTTATTCGAATCATTGGTTTGTCCGTGTATAATGCGTCACACTAAGCTATTTTTGAGCCACTTTCAACATGGTTTTGTTCAACACAGGTCTACAGCTACCAATTTGGTAGATTTTTCAGAAGGTCTATTTGAATCTTTAGACGCTAATAAACAGGTGGACGTAATATACACGGACTTTAGTAAGGCGTTTGAACGTGTTCCCCACCATTTTTTGCTGCAAAAGTTATCGGTGTATGGCTTCAGTGACTCTATGTTAAGATGGGTGAAATCTTACCTGGATAATCGCAGTTTTCACATTGTCCTTAATGGTTTCAATTCACAATCGATCAATGTCACATCAGGTGTACCGCAGGGCTCTCATTTAGGTCCGGTATTATTCAATATTTTCGTAAATGACATTCCTCACAGATTTAGATACTCAAAACCGTATTTATGTGCAGATGATCTAAAGTTTTGCAGAGTGATTGATACCGTTGAGGATTCAATTTTGCTTCAGAGTGAGTTGGATGAAGTGGTTGCTTGGTGTAGTGAGAATGGTATGACCTTAAACGCTAGTAAATGCTTTGTAGTAAGGTTTGGTAGAATGCATAACATGGTTCTTTACAAATATCACATAAACGACATTTTGATACAGGTATTGGATGAAATTCGAGATTTAGGTGTTATATTTGACAACAAATTAACTTTTATTCCGCATATTGATAATGTTGTAAGTAGGGCCTCGCGTATGTTGGGATTTGTACTGCGAAACATTAAAAGTTTTCGAAGCTGTAAACCCAAAATTATGTTATATAATAGCTTAGTACGCAGTATCTTGGAGTACTGCAGTGTTGTTTGGAGACCACACTACGCAACACACTCCTTACGTTTAGAACGCATTCAAAAAATATTTGTTTGGCACTTAATGTACTCATGTGGAATCTCCAAGAAAAAACTCTCCTCGTACCAGCGTCGTTTATCACATTTCAATGTGATGTCTTTGGAGAAACGTAGAACTTTTGGATATGTCATTTGTGTCAAAAATATTTCGTCATGAAGTGG